CCTGGCCTGGCCTGCTCCATCCCTGGCTCTTGTGCTCCACAGCAGGAGCTGCAGTATAGCAGGGGATGTCCCCAAATTGCCATCAGATCTTACACATGTTGATGGGTGCCTTGGCCCTGCTTTGCATGGTCTGCCCTTAGTCCTAGCCTTTGCATGTGCTGGTGGATGTTACAGCCTGGCCCAGCCTGGCCCTTTCCCAGGCCCAGCTCTATTGAGTGTCCATAGTGTTTCAGGCTGTTACTACCTCCAAATCTACATAATCCCACAAAAGTGGGTCTGGAAGTCACCTAAAGAATCTGCTGGATACTGTGGCCCAGCCTGACAATGTCTAGCACTTGTTCAGACATTCTGGGTGAATACTGCATCCTAGGCAAGCCAGTCTTATCCTCAAATCCCAGCTTTGTGTGAACTGGCTCTCAGTTGGTACTGCTATTTTTTATTTTTATTTTTATTTTTTTAATTCATTGCATTGCATTATGTGACACAGTGTTGTGGGCACTTGGATTCCCCCCACCCCTCCCCAAACCCTCTCCCAATGGTGGATTTCTCCACCTTGTTGCATTACCACAGTTCAAATTCAGTTGAGGTTCTTTCATTGGAAGTATTTACCAAGCACAAAGTCCAGTGTTTTATTATCCTAGTGGGTTCAACGATTTCTTGGTGAGACTATCTCTGGTCTGAAGGTAAAGCCAGCAAATTATCATCCCAATCAATTAAAAGCCAGAACATAACATCAACAGCCATTTACAACCTTATAGCATTAATTGACATGGCGTTTATTAACCAATATGTTAATAGGAAAATGCAGATTCTTTACTACATCCTATGACTTCTTCATAGACATTTCAATTTTTGGTTTATATTCAACCTGATTCCATACAGTTATCAGTTTAGGCACAGTACATTTTTTTTTTCAGTAGGGGTGTGCAGAGAAATCTCTAATACCCCAGTGAGGTGTAACTAATCCTAATCTCTGTGTCCCACCTAGTGAGGCATGTTAGGACCACGCTGGCCTTTTCCTGTCTGATTCTAAGCTTTCCTTGTTGTTGTCTGTCCATTCTAGATTTTTTGTTTGTTTGTATGTTTGTTTGCTTTGAGGGGCTACTGCAGTGATTCTAATGGTCACGCGAGAGAAGGTGGGGACCCACAGCCAGAGCCAGGCAAGGACCAGAGAAAGCTCGCCTCCCTAGTCCCAAAGAAAGATTATTATTCTTCTGTTTCTGCAGATCGCTCAGGGCTCCTGATTGTCATTCCGATGATGCTGGTTTCTGAACAGCAGAGTTTGGACTTCTTCCATCCCCTGTGGAAGCTCTAGATGAGGGTGGGTGACCTCAGAGTTCTTGGCCTCTGATGATACTCGTATTTCCCCGTGGTCTCCTTGGCAGTTGGGATGTAGTCCTTGGTGTCCGTACTGATAGTCCTTCGTGAGGATCTGGGAGTCTTCAGGGTTGGGATACGAGCCTCCTCCTGTCCACCTGCTCCACTCTGGGATCTCCCCCTGCTCCATATGCATGACCTCCTGTTAAGAGGCTTTCAGGGTCGCTCCCGATTCCCCCCTTATGCCTGTGTAGCTTTACTATTGTCTAGTGCCAATTCGAGTGTGTTGTCTATAGGTTATCAGATTTGATCCTGATAGGCAATATTTCACGTCTTCCTCTCACTTTTTCGGAAGATGGAAGATTTCTCCACACTCCCTCCCCATTACAGAGTAACATAGGGTGTTAAGAGTATTTTAGGTTTTACGGCTCTTTGATGTAGATCATAAGCAATCTGACTCACATTAGTTGTTGTTTTATGGGTTACAATGCATTATCTTATTGCATTGGATACAGGCTGTCAGAGATTGCAATAATATTACAATCTATAAGTATTATTTTCGAGATTGAAATCTTTTCATCTCAAATCAAGGGAAACATGTGGTATTTAACCTTTTGGGATTGGTTCATTTCTCTTAGCATAATGGATTCCAGTTAGGCCCACTGGGCCACAAAAAAACTGCATTTCATTTTTTAAAATAGGTGATTAGTATTCCATGGAGTATATGAGTCGTAGTTTTCTTATCCAGTCCTCCCTTGATGGGCATTTCGGTTGCTTCCAGGTTTTTGCAATTACTGATTGTGCTGCTATGAACATAGGGGTGCATGTTGGTTTCTTGTGGAACAGGTGTTTTGTATATATTCCTAGGAGTGCTATTGCTGGGCCATATGGTATGCTGATTTTCAATTGTTTCAGTATCCTCCATACTGATTTCCATAGAGGCTGTACAAGTTTGCAGTCCCACCAGCAGTGGAGTAGGGTTCCCCTTTCCCCACATCCTCGCCAGCAAGTGTTGTTGGTGTTTTTTTTTTGTGTGTGCCATTTTTGCTGGCGTTAGGTGGTACCTCATTGTTGTCTTCATTTGGATTTCCCTTATTGCCAAGGAGCTTGAGCATTTTTTTATATGTTTGTTCACCATTTTTTTATATGTTTGTTCGCCATTTGGGTTTGTTCTTTTGTGAAACATCTGCCCATTTCCTGTGCCCATTTCTTGAGTAGTTTGTCTCTTTTGGTCTTTTGGTTGTTCTGGAGATCTTTGTATATCCTGAAGATTAGCTCCCTATCACCTATGTAGTGCACAAACATCTCCCATTCTGTGGGTTGCTTTTTTACTTTGTCAGTTGTTTCCCTTGCTGTACAGAAGCTTCTTAGTTTAATGAAGTCCCATTTGTTTATTTTGGCCTTGATTGTTATTGCCTTTGGAGTCCTTTTTAGGAAGTCAGGGCCTACACCTAGCTCTTGCAGAGTGTTTCCTAAATTTTTTTCCAAAAGTTTGAAGGTTTCTGCGTGTAGGATTAAGTCTATTATCCATTTAGATTTGATCTTAGTGTATGATGAGAGGTATGGGTCTATCTTCTTGTTTCTACAGGCTATCATCCAGTTGTCCCAACAGCATTTGTTGACGAGACCTTCCCATTTGCTTGGGTTGTCATCTGTCTTTTTGTCAAAGATTAATTGTCTGTATCTATGTGGGTTTTCCTTCTGTTGTTTCTATTCTGTTCCATTGATCCTCTTGTCAATCTTTGTGCCAAGTTGGTACTGCTATTTAGCCCAGCCAGTTCTTCTTACATGGGTAGGTGCTTTGGCCTGACTCAAACATGCCCTCAACCCCCCTCACCAATGCACTGTATCTGAGCTTCCTGATCTGTCTTTGAGTTCAGTAGCCTGGTTGTGGAAGGCCCTAGAAGTCATTCCTCTCCTGTCCAATATACTCTGATGTCTACCAATTCATTACGTTCCAGACTCTTTTCCCTGGGAAATTTGAAGTCTTTTCATCTGGGAACTGGGATGATATGTCCCAGCCTGACATTTCCTACTTCCCCATGTAGCTTAAAAAAAAAGAATAAGAAATTATGCTTACAGACATTTATAGTAACATAAATTTAGCATTAACCAAGCTCAGAGTGCTGCCAGCTGTTGGCTGCCTTTCTCTCAACAACGTAACACTTTGCTAGGTACAAGGAAAATTGGGAAGTTGCCTATCCTTGGGAAAAGAATAACTTTTCAAAAATTAATTATGTTTATATATTCAAAAGTCAGAGCTACAAAGAAGGAGGTGGAAACAAAGAGCTTCCCCATGCCTCTTCACTCCCCAATTGCTAAATCAGGCAGGACTGGATCAGGGAGGGCAAATCCAGCAGCCAGGAGCCAGAAACTCCTTTCAGGTCTCCATGTGGGTGGTAGAGTCATGATTATTTGAGTTATTTTGTTTTCCCACGCATATTAACATGTAACTCACAAGTACAGCATCTGGAACTCAGATCACTGCACATATGGGATTCTAGCACCAAAGGCTATGGCTTAAAATGCCTTGCCACAATGAATAACGTAAAGGAAAATCATTCATGGGCTAAAAATTTTTCCCCAGACCATGGAATTTACTAAAATACCTGTATTTGCTTGATTGTGATAAATATTTTTTCATAGGCAATGTTTTCTCAAACATGTATGTAACACCAACCCTTGAATACTTCAGCTGTGAGACCACACACACACACACACACACACACACACACACACCCCTAGACACATGTTACATTTACAATGTACGTATTAGCAGGGAACAGTCAAGACACCAAGGAAGAAAGTATGATGATTCAATGAAGAAAGCCATTTATTTTTATTTTTCATATTGGTTTGAATATTTAATTAAATGATGAAAAATATATCCTGAATGAACTTTTGATTTATTCTTCCTGGCATCCAGATATTCCTGAGTATGGCTGTGATTGAGAAAAAAATTTCCCACGAATGATTGTTCATTTGGGGGGTTAATGACATTTTCATGTGATTGCAGGAGATGAAAAAAATGCATTTGAGAAAAAAGTAGGAATCAATTCATGGCTTTGGCTAAGACCTGTGAATGTTTTTGAAATGTCCATGGAAATCAAAATCCATTTCTTATCCAATAGAAATGTGTAATAGCCTGCAATGAATTTTATTTTACTCTGATAAAATGATGTTCACTCAGAATTATGTATTTTGACATAAAATTATTGAGTAATGGCTATAGCTGAGCCAGTCTGAAGCAGGAATCATCAGCTTCTTCCGGGTCTACCACATGGGTGTATGGGCCCAAAGACTTGAGCCATTCTATGCTGCTTTCCCAGGTCATGAATAGGCAACTGGATTGGAAGTGGAGCAACCAGTGCATGAACTGGCATCCATATAGGATGCAGATATTGCAAGATTAGCTTGCTGCACCACCACTTCAGTCCCATGAAGTAGGTGTTTGAAATGGATGCTATTTGATATTATCATATGTATTTTACAAGTTGGTTTTAAATCAGGAGGAGTTGAGGAACAGAGAAATAAAATCCTCTCAAAGGAAATCTGTAATTCTTGTACAGATGAATTGATTTTTATTTGCAGCTTTCATTTTGAAAACAGCAGGATTGTGTTTCTTGATGCAAAGAGTTTAATGTTTGTTCAGCTAGTCCTGAGGCTCTTGTGCCACAAGTTTACTACTGTGTTTTCAAGTCATCAAGCACTTCTTGCTTTGTGATTCTGGCCCATTCATCAGGAATTTGGCCTTTACCTGCAAATCTTTTCTGATATTTTTCTTCTAGATTTGATCTGAAGTGAGAGACAAACCACTTCCAATAGGGCTGGCTGGATGAGTCTGGAGTGATGCTCCATGTGGCATAATCCCCTCCTGCCTGTCGATAGTTCTTATATGGGAATTTTTCATCCTCACTTAACAAAAATGAGCAATCACTTGCCACCAAACTCGTACAGCAATCAATGGTCAAATTGTCTGTGGTTAGCCAATGCCATCCACTGACTGCCTGAGGACGGTGGAAGGGAACACTGTGGTCTCCATCATGTGCAGAAATTGTGTTTGTGCAGATGGCTTTGCAGAACGGACACTGTTTCCAGCAGCCACACAGATGTTCAGAGAGTATTTTCTCAATTGCAGGAATGAATTCTTCTACAGGTATACTTAAGCAATTCTGTTCAACTGTCTCCATTGCAGGATCCAAATCTGCACTCATGGCTTCCTTGAGAAATTCCATGTCTTTAATCTCCTGGTGTTCAATGCTTATCAAGTCACTCCTTGGGAAGATGAGGTTGCTCCCAAGGTGATCACAGAACAAATCTAACCACTCAGATGCAGTGCTGCTTTTGTCTTTAGCTTGTGCTGTGGATTTATGAATAGCAGAGAGTAGGACATTCTTGATGTCATCTAAACTTAGTTTTAAAAAAGCCTGTATTGCTTCAGCTCCTGATCCTGAACAGTATTTTCTAATTTGGGTTTCAATGTAACTCCTGAAAAATGATTTTGGATAATGAATATATTGCCAATACTTTTCAAAGTTCTCTTCCTCTGCCAGAGAGATGAGAATGTGTTTCTCCAAGTTAGCTCTGTTTCCATTGAATTCAGGGCAAGTATTTCTCATGTCCCCAGCAATTTTAGGGACTGCCTTTTCCCTTATGGTTTTGGACACAGCTGGGGAGAGCTTGTTCCACAGAAAATCAACAAATGTTTTAATAGAAGTTGCTCCTTGGATGGAGATTTCAAAACTCATAAAGAAATCAGCTTTCTTAGACTCCAAATAATAAACAGGATTATTTGCTCTCTTGAATGCCTCATGCATTTTCTTAAAATACTGTGAGGCTCTTCTAAATAAATGCAAAGACATGTCAATCTTATATTTGTTTGTAAAGGAATATTTTTTTGCTGTGGTTTCAGATTCTACTTCCTCTTCTATTATTCTCAGGATTTTATGGAAATCACTGGAACTGTAATCACGCTGTTGCAAACGAATGTCCTTAATAGTTTCCTCAAATCTTGTAAAGATGTGGTTACTAGTCCTATTAATAGCTTCTTTATCATGTGCTTCTAAATGATCTCTGGAAATGGAATAGTTCCTACTCATTTTAACATATTCAGTGTAATCCATTTGAAATACCTTTCCAGATTTTTTACCTAGTGTTTCCACTATATTTGTCTCACTTTTAAAATAATTCAAAAGAATGTCTTCAGCATCTAGTTCAATGTCAGGCTCTTCAACTTGAGGGAAAGTTGAGGACACATCATGGACCCATTTTGTCCAAAGTTGATAAAATATGTTCTGTACCTCTTCCTTGTTTAGCTCTTTATCCTTTATAGATAAAGCCAACTTCCTGCTCTTTTCCAATAATTCTCTTTCATATTCTGCTTTTTTCTTATCCAACTTTTCTTGGCTTTTTTTAAAATGAATAAGTTCATCAGCCTTTCTTAAGCTCTCTGAAACAAGTGTGTCCTTAAGCATGGAGAGTTTATGCTCAAAATTTGCTTTCCATTGAATTAGTATTCCATTATCTGGATCTTCAGTTAAAAACTTTTCAAATTCTTGCTTGATGGCTTCATATTTTTCTGTAACTGGGGCCTCAACTGTGCTTCTGTTGAGTGTCTGCATTTTCCCATTCTTAATCTGGTTGTTCAGCTGGAGCTGCAAGTCCAGCACATGACTCCTCAGTTCCCAAGTCCACTGGTTGTACATGGTTTCCAGTTTGCTCATGGCCACCACCTCTAGGGTGTTCTTGAAGCTGAAAATAAAGTTCTCACTCACCAGAGCTTTCCACAAATCTTGAACTCGGAATTTTAAGTCTGATATCTTCATGATGCTTCCTTTGAATTCCTGTTTGGCACTCATAAGAATTTTACTTCTCAGTTCCTGGACATTGAGGCTGTAGCGTGGATTAGGAGGGGCCATTGGAGGATTGCCATCCCAGAGGTGAGCAAAGTAGTAAACCTGAGTAGTCACATCAAACTTAATAACATCATTGAAGCAGGTGATGTCTGAGTATTGCTCTTGTTCTGCTGCTAATTTTGCCATTTCATCTAGTCTTTGCACTAATTTCCTACGAGCTTTTATCAATTGGTCTTCAACGGCAACATCCTCCACATTCTGATGGATAAAGATGCAACTTGGTGAGATTTTTACCTGTTTCATCCTCAGAAAGGCTTGGACAACTATCTGTAGGATATCCTGCATCTCTGATGGATTCTCACCAAAAATATTGATGAGAGTCAAGTTTCCAAGTCCAGTGACAAAGGTTGCCAATTCATTGTCCCTGTTCTGGGATTTATTGTTGAGTTCTGGGGCTCGGAGACCTTCAGTATCCACAGCCAGCACAAAGTCAAAGCCAAGTTCCCCTGTGAATGTCTCCTCCACCTTCAGGAGCTGCATGTAGGCCCCCCGGGTACATCTGCCTGCACTGACTGTGAACTGCAGCCCAAAGAGTGTATTCAGCAGAGTGGACTTGCCTGAGCTCTGCAATCCAATGATAGAGAGAACAAAGAGCTTCTTGTCTCCAAGTTTCTCAGCAAGCTTGTCAAAAACAGCTGCTATCCAAGTTAGAGGCACATATGAGGCATCCCCATCCATCAGTTCAATCGGAACACCAGATATCATCAGATCTGCAGCAATTTCAGGAAGGGAATGAAAGAGAGCCTCTTTTTTGGAGGATGTTTCTTTCAGAGCTTCATAGATCTGACCAACTTCTCTGAAAAGTTGCTCAACTCCAAGGACACAGTTATGATTTTCTGTGGAGATGCCTCCCATCTTACTTTGCTGGTCTTGCAGATAATTTTTCTTGGACATGGTTTTCTCTTTTTCTTGTACCTGTGGCAGCAATGGCCTTTGCTTCTCATGCCACTGTTCCACACACCCTGCAGTCAGATCATCCAGAAACACACTTAACCACGGTAAAAAATAATGTTTGGTGTGATTTTCTGAATTTCCCTGAAGATTATCAAGAACAGATCTCATTAAATCATTGAGAGGAAAGGCTTTGATCAACTGTTTTTGCCGTATCTCTCTTTTCTCTCTCTGTGTGTCACTCTTGTGTTGCTCAATGCTCCGATTTCCCTTTTCTGTCAGATGGTAGAGTTCTCTGTCCTTCTTACACCACTGGTGCCACAGTGTTCCCTGAAGGGGCAGAAAGTTTTCCTTCACGTGAGATAACGCTGTTTCTGACAGGAGGGACATTACATTTTGTGCCTTTTCTTTGCCTTCCTTACACTCTCTCTCATCTTCATCAATAAGGAATCCTTGCTGGCGAGCAATCATGGAACAGTCTTCCAGGCTGAGGGAGGTGTCAGAGGAGTCTAACAAATGCCTGATTGCTGTTGCAATTTCCTCTGTTAATTCTGCTTCATTTCTATTCCTGATACCAATTCTTACTCTCTGACTAGAACTATTGCATATGCCTTTTTCTTTGTCATCAAGCAATAATATGAAAGGTTTTGGTGACTGGGATAGGTCACGAATAAGCTTCCGGTTTTCTTCATTGATATCAGAAAATTTCATGAGAACCACAATGAGAGAAGAGATTTCCTGCAGGAAGGTGAGCTGCCGCTTATGTTCCTTTGCATCTCCATGAAGATTGGTGAAGGTCACACAGTTGTTAAATCTGTCCCCATCATCACCCCCAGGACAGTACCAGCTGACTTCCACCACACCCTCCATCAAGAGACAGTCTTTTGTGCTTCCTCTACAGTGGCGGTGAAAAAACATACTATTCTTACGTTTATCAAGAAAAGAGTTCATGATCTGAGATTTGGAAGCCAAGAGGCCATTCCCAACTCTTATGAAGGACACAATGGGGGTAGAGACAGAACATATCTGTTGATTCCTGTAACTGATCTTCTCATCTGGTGATTTCTTGACTTGCCAACTTTTCCTGATTTGCCTGAGAGACCAGAGGGAGAATTCAATCTGAGAACTGCAAGGATTAGGCACTACAAGGGGAAGGGCAAATTGGCAAATGGCAAGTTTGCCCATAATGTACTGCCTGGCAAAGTCATCTACACAGTGAAAAATTGTCATCTGAATATCCATTGGGTGAATGTGGGGCTTGTTGAGCTGGGATCGCTTTGTGGATGAAGGTTTAGAACTAGGATTATCTTCAATAAACTCTTCATACGGATCAAAAGTCTCATTATCCTGATCAGGAGATATTAAGTCTACATGGTATTTTGTGTCTCTATCATCTCTGACCACCAAATGTCTCAGGCTATAATCCAACATTAGCAGCTTCTGCAGGAAATAGAAAGGAAACTCCTTTTCAGAACTGGGATGGGTGTTGTACACAGACTTCTTGTAGATAACGTGGAAATCAGCTCTGCTCATCCTTTTTGGATAGTAATGATCTAAGCCTAGCTGTTGAAGTATGTCTAGGAAGGGCCCATTATCTGTAGCTTTCCTTTCACTATTTTCATGTTCATGTGTTTCTTCGGATTGTTTCTTTCCATGGAAGAGACTTTCCAATTGGTTTTCGACTTTGTCCATTTGTAAGGAAGACTTAGTGGCTTCATAATCCCCATCAAGGAGCATTCTCATGTGTTTCATCTGCTTTTGGTACATTAATTCCACTGGAGCTTGTTTTGACCCTGAAAGACCTGACTGTGACAGGTGCAGCAGCTTCTCCAGGGCCCTTTTCTCCCATAGATGTTGTGTCTGAGATTTCAGCTGATGAAGGTCTTCTTCATCGAGGTGTTGTAAGGCCTGGGCAGAGGTCACACCCAAGTGTTCCTGGAGCTTTGGTAACCAGTACTCAGCATTCAACCCCACTGCTCTCAGCCTTTCTTGGAGATCTTGCTCCCTTTCTTCTCTGAGCAGTTGTTTATCACGGGTGTATCCTCCTGAGTCCATGGCTGTGTGAAAAATATAAATTCAATTAACTTGTCTCTTCCTGACCTAGGAAATATTGATCTCTTGACTAATGGGGTGAATATAGAAAAAGTAAGTACATTCCTTGTATAGTTCCAACATACAATTTTTGGTAATATGATTTTTAAGCGCAAATCATCATTGTTGGTATCCATAATTTGTCATAGTTATTTTTAAAGATTTATTATTTATTTTTATTGCAAAATCAGATTTGCAGAGACAGAGAGGAAGAACTTCCATCTGATGATTCATTCCCCAAGTGAGCACAATGGCTCGAGCTGTGCTCTAACAAAACCAGGAGCCAGGAGCCAGGAGCTTCTTTTGGGTCTCCCACAGGGGTGCATGGTATCCAGGATTTGGGCCTTCCACAATGCTTTCCTAGATCAGAATCAGGGGAGCTGGATGGTGAGTGGGGCTGCCGGGATTAGAACAGGTGCTCATATGTGATGACGGCGATTTCAAAGGAAGAATTTTAGCTGCTAGACCACTGACTTAGGCCAATGTCTTGGATTTTTAAATGCCACAGTTATTTTCAGCATAGCCTATTTTTGGCACTGATTTCATAGACCTACATTGATGGTGACTATTTTGCTTTTAAATGAATTTAAAAAGGTGGATAGTAAGAATCCAGTTGGAAGAATAGGATAAGGACATTTTTAAATGAATGGAGCAGAGAGGGGACATTCCAGCAAATAGAAAAGAACAGAATAAGAGCAGAAGGTACCTGGAAGCTGACAGACACAGGAAGTCAGTGGACACAAGGGTGTGTTGTTCAGGTAACTGATATACATGCAATGTTCAGCCAACAGCTATCAGAAATACACCAGAAGCTAGAACTACATGAGCAACAAGGTGGGAAGGGATGTTTACCGGGAGGTCCAATAATGAACCTGGACAAAAAATGCCTGTCATACTCCTCTTTTTGATTTGACCAGGAGCAGAAACAGAGTGGCCGATCCCAGACAGGCAAAGTGGGAAAAGGGTGGATTTCATAGTCTAGTCCTCCTAGAGCCATATCGGGTGCCATTTGGTTTAAGAAGGCATATGCTATGGGAGTGAACTCATTCCTGACTCAGTGAACTGCAAGAACATGGCCTACTACATTTTCCAAAAAAGACAGGTCCAGGTTGACCTCAGACATTGTGTACAGCAGATCAAAAATCAATTAATGGCAAATCAATACAAATTTGCATGGTGTGGTAAAGCTGGAAGCAGAGCTATATCAGGCAAAAAAACACACATATATATAGATATTAGATGTTAGATATTAGATATAATATTATAATATTATATAATATATCATAATAAAATATCTGTATGTTGATATGTTATATATTGTGTATTATATGTTATATATTATATATTGTATATTACATACATATTACATACATATATATTCAAGAATTGAAAGACATTATTAAAAGGCCAAATATAAAAATTATGGGAGTCCCAGAAGGTGCAGAAAGAGGACCTGGGATTAAGGGTGTATTCAATGAAGTAAGAAGGGAAAAATTACCTAATCTGAAGAAAGAATTGGGAAACAACGTCCCGGAGCTACACAGAACTCCCAACAGGCTTGACCAAAATGATCTTCACCATGACACATTATCATCAAGCTCTCTGCTAATGAATATAATTAAAAGATCCTTATATGTACATAGAAAAAAAATCAACTGGCATATAAAAGATTGCCAATTAAACTCACAGGAGACTTCTCCAAGGAAACTCCGCAGGCAAGAACAGAATGGAGTGACATATTCCAGATTGTAAAAGAAAAAAATTGTTGGCCCAGGATAACGAACCCAGTAAAGCTTTCCTTTGTCTTTGAAAATGAAATAAAATTCTTCCATAGTAAACAGAAGTTAAAAGAATATACCTCTGCCAAACCTGCCCTACAAATGATACTTAAAGATGTTCTTCACAGAGAAAAGAACATCCCAGTAAAATAACAACAGAAGACTAAATCCATGAACAGCCCATTACTAAAATGACAGGACCAAATTACTGCCCATTCATATTAACATTGAATGTAAATGGCTTAAACTCATCAATCAAATGTCAAAGATTAGTGAACTGGATTTAAGAAAAAAAACAAAACCCATCTATTTGTTGCCTACAAGAGACATATCTCACCAACAAAGATCAGTGGAAACTGTATCTCATGATTTTGATTTTTTTAATTTCATCTCTTCAAATAGATCATACAGGGAGAATCAAGATGGAGGAATAGGGTAAGGACACGTTTAAACGGACGGAGAAACATTTAACCAGAATGAAGCAGAGAGGACATATTTCAAGACATAGGAAAGGACAGAACAACAGCAGAGGGGTACCTGGAGACTGACAGACACAGGAAAGCAGCGGGCACAGCAGTGTGGTGTTGCAGTGAATGATATTCCAGCACGGCGATCTGAACTCCACCAGCAGCCAGAACTCCACCAGCAACCAGGTGGGAAGGGACATTCACTGGGAGGTTGGGAGGTGAACCCAGACGGGGAACTGTCTGTCCTGCAGGTCCGTTTGATTTGACCAGGAGCAGAGACAGAGCAGCAGATCCCAGGCGGACAGTGCAAGAACAGTGAGGATTTCATAGCCCAGTCAGCCCCCTAGAGCTGAATTGGGCGCCATTTTGCATAGGCAGGAAAGGGCTAGGGAAAGGACGGAGCATGCTCTGAGAGGGAGTGAGCTCATTTCTGACTCAGTAAACTGCAATGACGTGGCATTCTACGAGTTCCATCAGGGGCAGGTCTGTTGTGGTAGCATGTTGGGCGCCATTTTGCGCACTGTGGCAATAGCTTTGGATGCTGGGACAACAGTGAACTGCGCATGTGTTGAGCTCGCAAGAACTCGCTGAGGTCCCGCAGGAAAATAATACTGACTGTGGCATCGTACTGGTCAAAATAGGTCCATGTGGCACCCAGACCTAACATCCAACAAGTTCCGACAAGATCAGCACCACCAACAACCTAACTAGATAGGACACCTGGTGTCTCTCTAATCCTGGAACCCACTCCAACCAGAAGAGGGAGAAAGGTTGCAGAGACAACAGTGCAGCCTCCGCACGGTATCACAGGAGGTGGAGAGTGGTGAGCCAAGAGCTGGGGCTGTGGAGACTACGGTGGATATCTGACATACGAAGCCAGACCTGGAACTCGCTGGAGGTTGTGTCACAAGTGGCTGCAAGCAAAAAGTTGTGTACCAACTGCAATAAGTAAAATCGCATTGTAGACCTGTGGGTCACACAGCTTAGAAACCTGCCCCAAGAAGAAGACTCTGCTAACCAGAAGTACAATGATCAAGAGCAAAAGAAGAGACAAAGGCACAATGAATATTACCGAAAACTCCCCTGCAAAGGAGCAAAACCCTATGCCAACCTCAGAGTTAACTGAGGAAGACATTGAGAAAATGGGGGACAGAGAATCCGTTAGACTCATTTTAAAGATTCTGATCAACAATGAGAAGCTCATGCAAGAGTTCAAAGAATTTAAGGAAGCAGTAAAGCAAATCAAGACTGGTATATCAGAAGTTAAGAACACAGTAGAGCAAATTACAAGTACAGTGGAGAGTCTCCAAAATAGAATGAAGCAAGCAGAAGAAAAAATCTCAGAATTGGCAGATATCTCCTGTCACTAGGGGGAAGCAAACAAAAAGCTGGAAGCAGAGCTGGATCGGGCCAAAAAAAGTATTCAAGAATTGAAAGACACTATTAAGAGGCCAAATATAAGAGTTATGGGAGTCCCGGAAGGTGCAGAACGAGAAGCTGAGTTTGCAAATGTTTTAATGAAATAATCTAGGAAAATTTCCCTAATCTGGAGAAAGAATTGGGAAACAAGATCCAGGAGGGGCACAGACCTTTCAACAGGCTTGATCAAAAGCGATCTTCACCAAGACACATGATCATCAAGCTCCCTTCAATTGAACATAAGAAAAAGATCCTTAGATGTGCACGTGAAAAACACCAATCGACATACAAAGGAATGCCAATTAAGCTCACAGGAGATCTCTCACAGGAAACTCTACAGGCAAGAAGAGAATGGAGTGACATATTCCAGATTCTAAAAGAAAAAAATTGTCGGCCTAGGATAATATACCCAGCAAAGCTTTCTTTTGTCTTTGAAAATGAAATAAAATTCTTCCACAGTAAAGAAAAGCTAAAAGAATTTGCCTCTTCCAAACCTGCTCTACACATGATACTTCAAGATGTTCTCTTGACAGAGAAGAGGAATAGCACCTACCAAAACCAAAGGCAAGTGGGAAGAACATCCCAGTAAAATAACAACAGAAGACTAAATCAATAAATAACCCATTCCTAAAATGACAGGACCAAAGTAACACCCATGTATATTTAATTCTGAATGTAAATGGCTTAAGCTCAGTCAAACATAGATTAGTAGACTGGATTCAAAAACAAAACCCATCTGTTTATTGTCGGGAGGAGACACACTTCAACAAAGATCAGCGGAAACTCTATCATATGGGTTCTGTTGTTTTCTGTTGGTTTCATCTCTTCAAAACACTTTCTTCTGATTAAATCATTCAATGACTCGCAGATCATGCAGTGGCATCATGTTCTTCAAGAAGGTTCTTGATTTTCATTTCTTCAGCTACACGTTAGTCACTTAATAGTATGCTGTTTAACTTCTTGGTGTTGTTAATTTCTTTTTTCTCCCTGATGTTGATTTTGTTTTGTGGTTCTTCATTTAAGGGAATACATAGTAGCTGTGTAATGGAGACTGTCATATCTAGTAACATGTCATTTAACTTCATGGCCTTGTAAATTTCTATTTTTCTTTCTATTGTTGATTTTGTATTATGACTTTTCATTTGGGGGGATGTGCAGTAGCTGTGAAATGGAGACTAACATCCAGATGTTAGGATGCAGTTCAGTATGCATTTCTGTTTCCAGGCAAAAATGAACTTACAGTGAAACTGTTTATATTACATTTTGACAATAGGATTCTGGACTCTCTGCCATTGTCCAT